CCCCCCCTCTCTCTCTCTTTCTCTCTCTCTCAATAAATCGTAAGCCTTCGCCATCGCCACAGTACGGTAGACCACAAACACGAAGTGTCTGAGGCCCTTTCTCTATCTCACACCATACTACCCCTTGTCAACTATTAAAGCTCTGCGCCATAATGTTCTTTCCTGGGGCAACCTTTTCTACAGGGGTAGCGATATTTCGACGGCATGCCGTCTGAAAATCGTAGTTGATATTTCCACGGCATGCTGTCTGAACATCGGAAGTGATACCTATTCTATACGGTATGCCGTCTTGGGTCTAAAGATCGGAATTGATATTTCGACGACATAGGCTCTGCTTGAAGTGTATCAATGCAAGAATTGTGTTTGTTTTCCAGGCGACGAGTCGGGTGATCATACCTACCCGACCCGATCCGATCCCATCCGCAATAATGGGCACCCTACGATAGAAAAAAAAACCCCAGTCTTCTCTCCATTTTGCTTGCACAAAATAAATTGTGCGTCTCTCACTCTCGTTACAATCACACAAAACATTTCATCATTGTCCATAATGCACAAAATGATAGCAAATGATAAACATTGTTAACTAAACATACAGGTCTTCTCTATAATAACGCGTTACTTATGGAAAAGAGATTATAAATAGTCCGAATGTTCTGAGTGGCTGAATTTATGTGCCGTGGAATTATCACTTCCGATTTTTCGACGGCGTGCCGTATAAATATCCACTTCCTTTCTACAGAGTTTTCCTTTGAGGGAGGGAGGAGGGGGTGTGTCCGGTTTTAGGCTACTGTTACTGATGGGATCCACAGCTTTGTTTTTATCCCTGTGTTGTTTCTCATATCGGTTTTGCTCTTTCCAAGCGCCAAATGAACACCATTGTGTTAACCCTATCCGTACGTGTGTTTTGCTATCGTATCCTTAGAACATGGGGAACTCTGTGCCACCACTTTCCAAAGAGGAAATTTACTCGTTTATCCGATCCGTACGCTTTGCATAAGTCTGTCAAAAT